CCCTTGCCAATCTAACTCCTCCAAGAAGACACGTATCACTTGGTTCACATCCATCTTCTCATCCTGGTGGTGGCTGTAGCACAAGGTGGCACTGGAGTATTTTTGCATCTTTTAGGTGGCTGCTAGTTTCCTTCCTATAAACCAGGATTTTTCCCATAGGGAATACAAACAAATTAGTGTACCATATAAATAATTACCTTTATGTAAATGCATGTGATAAGATAAATGGAATCTGAAATTATTAACTAACCTTCCATTTAACAACATTTCTGACATTTGACTAGAGGAATGAAGTCCAACCAGCTTTTCTGTGCCTCTTGCTGTGGAATACCAAGGATGTGTAGTGGGCATTAACGTGTCTGAGCCATGCCTTGTTCTTCTTTGTCAAATAGGCTGAAAATATCAAACATGAGGGGGAAAAAATTAAGGAAGCACACAAGTCAGCCAATTTTTGATGTCCAACCAGAGTCAGCTGCCTCTAGGGCAAAAGCACCTTCTTCTCACAGTTTCTCTTCAGTTTCTGATGATTTGTGTTGCAGGTTAGGCTCAGGCTGACTTGAATCTTGAATCCCAGCATCATCCAACCACCTCAGCACTGCATGGTGGCCAGCTGGGAAGCTGATGATCCAGCAGCATGTTCCCAGGGCTGGCCCTGAGCTCATTGAAGCTTGCTGTCAGTAGCTCCATGCAAGCATGGCTGTTTTGGTTCAAGGTCTGGAGCTAGATCGTTCAGCATTCGTCTGGGGATTTCTGCACCACACCTTCCTGCCCAGTGTAGACATGTCCCAGTTCTATCATAATTTTCATCTGCCAAGCATTCAGACAAAATAATTAACTTAGCTTTGCTGGCACACATTCTTCATTCTAAATTATTTGTATCAAAGAGTTTTATTTCAACAAAATCTTTGTATTTAAATCACAAAAAATAAACATGAGGAGACTCAAACAATAACAACACTGATTAAAAATATAGAAAAACTTGACTGTGTTTTCTGGCACAGAAAGAGGATTTTTAAGGGTTTTTCTCTGTATCAGGTGAGTGGTATTTTGTGCTAATCACCTCCAGGCTGCAGAATCAGTACCACAGCATAACACAAAATAAATGACCAGAAGTCTTAATGTTTTTTGTGATTTTTGTTTAAAGTGATTTCATATTGCAAGCTTATGCCAAAAGGTTCTTTTGCTTCTGAGTTTCTGGCTCTGAGGACTGTTATCCACAGTGTGAATTTACCACTGTGTTTGTCCACAAAGTTATTGGAGTGCATATAAATAGTTTTCAGGTGCCATTCAAGCTTGTCTCTCTTTTGGTCCAAAACACTTTTGACAGCTACCAATCAGAGCATTTTAACTACCTTTAATGCTTTATCTGATGTGAAGATTACTGTGATTAATTAAAAAAGTCCCTTATCAGACTAGGAATATCTTCTGCCTAAGAGCATACCTGCTGTAGGGGTGTTATACAGCACCTCCTGCAATAGGTGGAGGACTCTCACCAGTCACTTCCCTTCACTGTGAATTAAGTACTGAAGCGCTCATGCAAGTTATTTTATATACAGGATTTTATATACAGGAGGGTTTTTTGAGGGATCATTGGTTTTATATTCCCCAGCTAGAGTTTCAGCCACTTTTTAACTTCTGGACGCTATGTTCTCACATCAAGACTCATCTTGATGCCTTTTACCATACACCTCTTCTGTTGCAGAGCTCTCAAAGGGCAGTCTGAGACACTTTTGGATAAGACACAAGGCCACAGCCACCCCCATGAATTCAGGTGTTGTTTGAGGTTGTTCCAGCTGCAAAGTCAGCAACACACATTCAAACTATTTCCTGAGTGTCTGAGGACCCCAAGAGTCTGGAGAGCTGAGTGTGTCACTCACTAACTTCTCCCCTCTCTTCTCTGAAAGGCAGCATGAAACTGTGGCTCATTCTGCTGCTTTCAAGAGGAAGGGGGCACCAAAAGTTTTGGGGTTTCTGTTACAGGTTAATTATTTTGGGTCCTGCTGCTTGACACCCTGCTTGTTGTGCCAGCTTTCCATAAACAAACTTTGGGAATCCTTGTTCTAATAGTATCTTTCCATCTTCTTAATGACTATGCTTTTTCACTCCATATGGCCACTTCATCTGCATTAAGCCTCCTCACTTCTAACAAAAAATCCTTCTGTCGTTTCTGTGTTTAGCCAGGTCTGTTGCTCAGATGGTGCAACCACTGAATACTTAAGCTGAGTCTATGTAAAATGTTGTTTCTCTAGCTATAGGCAAGGTCAGAAATAAATATCTTTGGTACCATATCTATTTAACTGAAAATCTAACTAGACCTCCAAATCTGTGCGCTTGGGCGCATATGTTAGAAACAGATCCTCTAGGAACTGATTTGTAATAGCCATTCCTACCACCACCTCCTCCTCCTCCCCAGAAGCCTGACTGGTGTTGATTATATCCTGACTGTGTCCAAGGAAAGTTGTCTGGACTGAGTGAGGCTGAGAAAGAAATGTAATGTTGTTTCAATACCTTTGCATCTTGGCTGTACTGGACCAAAGGTCCCATGTCTCCAATACTAGCTGACAAGGAATGTAAGTAAAACAAAGAGCAGCATAGCAGAGAGAACATGATAATGATGTGCTATTTCCACTGTTCCAGGTATCTCTGCCCATCCTAAGCCATGTAAAATGTCCCTGCACCTGTAGGTCTTCCATGAATTTGTCAAATCATTTATTGAGCACAATGAAAACTTGAGCATCAGCAGCATTCTATGACCAGCACATTCCAGCATGGCAAAATTTTTCCTCCTGTTTGTTTAGAACTTGCTGGATGATAATCTTATCTAACCAACCCTAATCTTATCACATGCAGAACAATGACCAATTGTTCCTAATTCACTTTCTCTATTGCCACAGTTAACTCCACAGATCTCTATTGTATTTTTCTTTAGGTCTTATTCTACTGAGTTATTCTTACAGGATCTATCCCATGCTTTTTTTTTTTTTTTTTTTTTTTTTTTTTTTTTTTTTTTTTTTTTTTTTACTTTTTTTTTTTATGAGTTTTTCCCCTTTTTTTTTTTTTTTTTTTTTTTTTTTTTTTTTTTTTTTTTTTTTTAATTTAATCACTGTTGTTCTCTGGTTTTTTTCCCCTTCTGCTTATTTTTTAATGAGAAAGAGATCAGAAATGCATGTCGTAGCAAGAGCATGAACTTAGAGTGACTGAAAGACATTTCCCTTCTCTTCTCTTCTCTTCTCTTCTCTCCTCTCCTCTCCACTCCCCTCCTCTCCCCTCCTCTCCTTCTCTTCTCTCCTCTCCTCTCCCCTCCTCTCCCCTCCTCTCTTCTCTTTCTTATTAACTCTAACCTAACTGTGCTCATTAAAGACCTTAACCCAAATTATCTTTTGCTCATGAAGAAGGTTTCCCTTAGCGTGGAAATGAGCTAGGTGTTGGCTTTCCTACTGTCTAAAAGTGGAAAAACAGAAGTGGGAAACACACTATTGCAATGATCCAACTGAACAAACGTAGTATCACACCAGAAAAAGCCCAATCCATAAATGTAACAGACAGCCAAACCTGGATTTTACAGAGTTAACAAGATCCATGCCATTGATTTCAGTGTGGTCAGGCTGACTCTCCAGGTCTGTCTAAGAGTCAGTAGTAGAGTCATCAGGTACCCATGGGAGCACACTGGATGCCTCAGTCCCCACGTGACTGGACATTTTCTCCATCCCTGTAAATAAGCCCAGGGTATTTTGAATTCACTGGCAGATTAGTTGCAAACAGACTGGTCCTTTTGTCATGGCACTCGGGATGAGAGTATTTTTTCTTTGAGGTAATCATGACAGATTTTCTCTACTGTGTAATCTTCTTGTTGGTCTTTTAAAATGTTGTCTTAGATCTTTATTTTCAGCCAGCCTTATTTTGCCTAAAGTCACGCTTACTCTTAACACTTAGACTGCCCAATGGGACTTTTATTATCAAAAGAAGCTGATTTAATTGGGCACTAGGAAGCTGTGGCAGTCATTTACCTGCTTTATGCTCAGAATTCTTCTCTCAGCTTCTGGTGATGCTTTATTTCTGAATTTCTCCTCACATGCTCTCTCTTAGCAATTCCATTTCCAGCATTAAGCTACACCTTTATTACCTCAGAGCCGTAAATATGTCTGCAGCAGCCCCTGTGGCAAGGCACTGCTGTAAGGGACGATGCCTTTTCCCCTATATCACCAGGTGTGTCTTGAAACTTTGCCTCCACTTTCTACCCCTGCCTTCCCCCCTGTCAGGAAAGCAGATTCTTCAATCGGGGTATCTGTGCAGCAGGTTCAAAGGCAGGCTAATTCTTCAGCAGCACTATAAATAAGCCTGCCCCTCTCTCCGCTCCTCCAGTTCAGCAGCTCAGGTCTCCTGGTGCCATAAAAGTCACTGTCACTGGAACCTTTGCTCTGTGGCTGCACATTTTTGGGCAATAGGGCATGTAACACACTGAGTCTTCATATGCCAAGATGCAGAAAATCAATTTTAATGTCCCTACAAAGAAGAGCTGGTGAAGCGAGAGGCTATCAGTACTGCCAGACACTCTCATGTGCTGGAGGTATGAGGAGAAATGCTACAAAAATGAAAACAGGTTCAGTGTTTTCTTTAGCCCCTTACTGTTGTAACAAGAACCAGCAGCATAACACAGTGCAGAGAAATGGGAATGGAAATGAGTGTTATCTGCATCATGTCCTTAAGAAATATTTGTCTCAACAAAATGAAAAATTGAAGGATTATGCATTCTTTGCCTGTTACCACAGAATCATAAAATGGTTTGGGTTAAAAGGGACCCTAAAGATCATCCAGTTCCAATCTCCCTGCCATAGGGAGGGTTCTGCTAGAAGTCTTACTCTGTTCATGTCAGCACCAGATCAGTTATCAAATTAGAAAATAGAAAAGTCGCATCTAGAAACCTACAATGCCTGAAGAGAAAGTGTTGAGAGACATTTCCAAAGACAGAAGTAATTAAATACTAAAGTAATGGTACTATAAGCATCTCCTTGTAGTTTTAATTACAATCCCTAGTTTATAGCAGTCAATAAAAATTGGCTTTACCATAACTTGCTGCATCTGAGGCACCAAACAATCCATATCTTGATTTTTTAAGCCCTCATACTAGCTCCAAAATTCATAATGTTTGAACTCCACAGATGAGAAAAGAGGAAGTGAAAAGGAGAGAGAGAACAAATCAAAGCAATCAATTCGAACAAAACTGTTTCTTACAAGCTGAACAGTAAATGTCTTCAGAATGTTTCACTTCAGGGTTTTGACAGAGGCAAATTCTAAAATCTTGGAATACATGGTAGAAAACAAGTCAACAGTTTTGTCAGCAAGTAACACATAAATGGGAATTATTTCAATCATATGAGAATCTTAACCTTTGCAACTGTGCCTTTCGAGGGATATTTCGAGTAGAGCGTGAACTGACACCCTGTGGAATGCTCACACAAGGCACGTTCTTGTTCTTCCAGTTTTCTTCGGCGCGTCTGCTGCCTCTAACCTCCTCCTTCTCAGCTGCATCCTGAAACAATTCCTCAGTGCAGTCCAAGCACACGGCTATCTGCTGGGTTTCTTGGGCAATGGAGAAGGGTTATGCTGGGCAAGTCTTCCCTGCTAATGTGCAGATGCTGATATCCACAAAACATCAGTGCAGCACTTGGCACGGTGAAAGTCTTCTCAGGCTGGCTTTATAACAAATACAGACGTAGGATCAACAGGTGGGTTTAGCTGGTGTTTTCCCCAATAACAGCATCATTTAAGCAAATCCAGACAGGAATAATGCTGAGTGCAAAGAGAGAAATATAATAAAGCTGTGAGAAACACGTTCAAGCTGTGCATTTAAATGTGCACTGAATTATAAATGAGGTGATTCCATAGAAACATCTACAATAAAAAAAAAAAGTTTGGTGTGAATAAATTTTTCTCTTATGAACATGTTTGCAGAATTATGCAGGTATCCCTATCCACCCTATTAAGAAAAAAATATAGCTTGAGAAAAATGAAAAAAAGAACAAGTCTGAGGAATTATATCAGGAAAAAATACTCAAGTACAAAAAAAAAAATCATGGTAAGCACACAAAACAGGGACTTACAAGCACTTAAAAAATACCACGGTATCCTGTAGGGTAACAAACACAGTAACAGAAAAAGAAGTTAGGCATTTTGAGTGCTGCATGTCCTCAAAATACATAAAGTTGAAAATAGTTATTCAATATGCATTGCAAAAGCATTCCGAATTATTAAATCTATGCTGTTTTTCTGTGAGCACTGCTTGCTTATAACGAAGCCTTCTAAACCCACTGAAACTGTCACAGCTTTTACCACATTATTTCATAAAAGAATCATTGCTTAGTGTTTCGCCATGGCACATGAAATAATTTTAATATTTGTAGTGCTGAAAAGACATGGTCAGTGTTCCACTACTACAAATGGTTATGTTTTGTTAGAAATCCACTGGAGATGGGATGATTGGTGGCTGCAAATGCATGTGTAAATAATGAACAGGGTGCACAGAGCTGTCATTTTCCAGAAAAAAATAAATCATATGCTGAGTTATTTTATTAAATTGTAGTGTGTACATTACTTTGATGTATAACGTGGTGTTATATTTTTATCTGAGATAGAGAAGAATTTCACAATAATTATTTTTAATGCATAATGTAACTTACACATATCGGCATGAAACATTGAGAAATTTAGGGTAGTTTGGCAAAGATGCTTTTCCCAACAGCAGGAAAAATACATATCCTGTAGATGAGGCTTTTAAAAGAAAATCTCAGAGGGAAGAGGGGGGTGGTTTCTAACAAGGGTTTAACCTTCCTGCTTCCCAGCCCATCTCTGTTTTGACAAACATGCCTTATTTCCATTGGAAAGTGGTTTCCTTACAAAATTCCCAGCTGGCTGGAATCGGGAGTTATGGCTATTTCCTTCCAGACTTTTCTTTCTACAACAAAGCAGTACGGGTTGCAAGGCTTATGACGAATATGTCTTTAGCAACAATGGCATGCCAGGCACCTGCTTTTTCCCGTTCATGCCAAGCTGTGCAGGATCAGGTGTTTGTTCTTCTTCTGCCACGTTTTAAAAGCAAGTGTGTGAGATATTACTGCAAAACTCACCTCTGTCAATACAGGAACACTAAAAATGTGTTGCTGCTTTTCACACAGAATATTCTACCATCATGAGCCTTTGCTCATTGGGGGAGACAAACTGGTTTCTGACATAAATCCAGAGACATCCAGGTCTTTTTTAGTTTGTGGTAGGGTTTTTTCGCATTAGGAAACAATTAATTTCATGGTGTTTATGAACTGTTAAAAATAACTTCACCCATTTTTCTCTTTTCCACAGTCAATTCTCTGCAGTGGCTACTGCACGCAAATTCAGTGATATAAATCTCGATGAACCTGCAGACACATTTATTCATGATGCATTTTAAGAGCTTAAAGCAGAAATGCAGTGCAGCTCATTAACTTTCCTTTCAGTGGTCCTGAGGCATATACTAACAGCTTATTACACTGACATACTATACAGTTTGCTTTTTGCCAGTTCTCAAAAAAACAAACCAACCTATTCAACCAAAATTTAAATGATAAATTTTTGGTTCGCTTTACTTTGTCTTTCTACATGCAACATGTATTTACTGCACCACATTTGCTCTGTTCCCTTGGAATTTTTCAGCACTGTGAATAGCCCCATCCCAATTTGTGTATTGATTTGGGTGATTGGCAGAAGCTGTACCTACCATGTTTTCAGGTGTTGAAATTCATCCAGTGGAAATTCATCCTGTAGAAATGCATACCAGCACCAATCTCCCAGGGCATGTACACAAGACTATAGGTGTAGACAGGATTAAGTTTAGCTATTTTTTTACTCACTGGTATCTGGTAGAGCATTCCTTGCTCTGCCCATATACAGCTGCAGGGGTAGTTAACATGGAGCAAGAACTGGCAAAAGTGTGAGATTTTTGTTAGCCTCTAACTTTAACATCTGTTATATGTTTCCAGAAGCCCTATTAAAGTTAGGAACAAACTGGCTATATACATTTGACAACAACAACAACATCACAAAAACAAAAAACAAAACAAAACAAAACAAAACAACCAAAAAAATACTAAAACCAAACAAAAACACACAAAAAAAAAGGAAAAAAAAAAAAAAAAAGCAGTGTGTCCTTTCTTTTGTGTTTTCTTCTCTCTGGTAGATCAAGTCTTATAAAGCCATAGGTGAGAAATAATGCCCATAATTTTGGCCTAAAGGAAAAGGGAATGGATTGGAAGAAGAGAGAATGAAGAAATTTAGAGAATGCAGAAAACACTTGAGTGCAGCCTCTGCAGGTGTATGAGGAAAGGAATGTATCTAAAATGGTTTCAATCCCAGCTCCCTTTCCTTTTACTGGCTTTCTTTTCAGTTTAAGAAACAAGAAAGGGGTCACAGTGCTTTTTTGGAGCTCTCCAAGCCATCAGCCGGCTGTTTATCCATCGGGAGCCTGAATGCTCTGACAGAGGCGACCAGTGAAATCAGTCACCATCCTCCTTTTTCCCTGTTAACCTGGGTTTGAGAGCATTCCTGATCAGAGGGGTAAAAACCCTTTCTAAGTACTCTGAGTCACAACCCTCCATTGAAAGGGCTCCCTTCAAAAGTGTAGTATCTCTTTATATAGAAAGAGAGATTTTTGATTTGGAAGGAGCTGCTTTGGCTCCAAAAAGCAGCACCGAACACTTGTCCTACATTGCTTCCTGAAAGGGGGCATTTCAGCTGCCACTGAGTCTGCAGGACTAGGGATGCTGCAGGAAGACTGCCAGAGGACAGTAAATATCAGTCCAGTGCAGTTCAACTGCAGCACCTCTGCCATCCAGCATCGATATCTGTGTATCCTGTCCTGTGGCTGAGAATATTAGAAAAATGAGAAATCTCTCTAGCTAATCTGTTATTCAGAGAGAGCCTCCCTCCCTGGGTCTCTCTCCAGCTCACTGCCTCATCTGTTTCTCAGCCACTCCTCCCTGCCCAGACACATTCCTTCCCAACTCCTCCCACACCTCAAGCCAAGGGCTGGAGAGCCTCCACAGGAGGCTTGGGTGCCTTACATGAATGAATGGTTATAAATGTTCTCAAACATGGTGGCTACCATACACTGAAAAGAATTTTCTTTATCCTGAGGGAAAGACTATTACTCAGACAAGCCTTCCCTAATGTTTTTATTCTTCTGTTTCCCACCTTACAAACAGCAAATTGAATTAGACTCTCAGACAACTGTTGATGTGGGAGAGGAAGAGCAAACACTGACGTGTACATACACACTTCTTAAGGATCTGACTCTTAGTTTAACAAAAACAACCTTCTGTTATTGAGCCTTAGTATGCCTGGATGATTTATACAAAAGATTTTGAGCAGTTCTACTCATTCCCTAAGGGGGATGTGAGGAGAGCAGAAGCTTTCCATGCAGCTCTAAACTCACAGTTAAGGTTTCGTTCATCTGAGAGGATAAATGGAAAAAAACCTAAAAACTTATTTCCAGAACGCAGACTCTTCTAGACATTTCCCACAGTGTACATGAGGTGCAAGAGACCTAGCTCAGCTTCAGAGCATGACTGCAAAGCAGCTCCCAGAGGAGCCACAGACCATGCAGACACACCATCCTGCAGACACAGGGCAGCAAACAGCCACTCACAGCCACTGCAGAGGCACAGGTTGACCCCAGACATCCTCACACCACCACCACAGATGGCACTGTGTAGGATGGCTGGGAGCATTTCCCTGGGAGTGCCTTCCAAAGCAGGGCAGCCTCCCAGCAGCACCGTGTCTCCTCTTCCCACAGGCCCTTGCTGCACAGGGCTGTCCATGGGTGTTGGTTTTTGCTTCCGTAGTTTAAACATTTCCTGGAATGTCAAAACTTGTCATCAGTAAATAGGTCAGACTGGCTGAAGCACTGTGTAGGCTCCTCCTGAAACCTCACCAATGTGTCTCTCACTCAGTGTCCTTTCATTTTCAGTGTCCTGCTCCTTTTTGCCATGTCCAAACCCAAGCCATACCAATAAATGGAAGTTAACCCTGAAACTCTCTCTAACTTTTGTCCCAATGTGGCTTCGAGCCAAAGGCAAAGAGTTAGTGCTTTAATCCACTTCACCATCTATCCCTCTGGGGGTTCATAACTCAGCCATGAATGTTTGTTTTGAGCTGAAACTTGCAGTGCAGGTTCTCCTCCAAGAGCTGTGGCAGGGCAGAAGGCAGGCGCACTCCCGAGAGCACTTTGGCACCCCAGGGAGGGCAGAGGGAAAGCAGTGAGGGAGAGGAAGGGCCAAGCCCCTCTGCAGGGAGAGAGTTGGGAAATGAGGCAGGGTACAGTCTGGAAGGGTAGGTAGGAGGGAAACACTACAAGACATGTATGTGATAAAACTTTCATCTTTGACTTGCTTATTCCTACTCTCTTAAGATTTGTCTGGATTGACTTTTTACTCTTCACACAGACACTGGGACTTCTCATCATCCTGGTCAGGTAGTGTTGGTGTCAGCATAGCATTCTGAATCACCATAATCCCAGTGATAATAATATCAGTGTGACTGTTACATATTCCTAAAACTGACCACATTCAAATTTGTGGGCATACCTTTTTACATCCCTGCAAGTTTTATACAGATTTTTAGAAGATTCAAGCAAACAGTGTACTTTATCTGAGGTCCTACAGCTGGGGTATCTGCATGTCTCAGGCTTTAGGGTATGTTTGGGTTTGGTTTTTGTTTTTGTTTTTGGTTTTTTTTTTTTAATAATGCCCTTGAGAAGAGTGGAA